TAAATCAGACAAATACGCAGCTAGCGCAGCCCACAGGACCGAGGCCGAGCCGATTGACACGGCCCAGAACAAGCAAGTCGAGAGCTCTCGAACAACTCCTAGCCGATCCAAATCGGGTGCAGAGAAGCGGAGATCGAGGCGAAAACAGGAAGGCGGGACTTCCAAGTCAGAGCTCCCGAAGCGAAAGGACTGGCTCGCCTCTAAAATCCGTACCTGTGTTGCGAGGTGGGACGGAAATCTAGTCAATATTCGATGGCGCGCGCGAGACCCTCATGTGCCCAATTTCGGTGTGCAATAAACGTCTACCCCCCCTGTCTTGTCGTTCTCGCTACAATATGGGTGCAAGAGCAATGCGCTTAACAGTGGTTTCGATCAGATCAACTGAAATTAGACCACGTGCTAACCAGCAATAAACGTAACCGATAAGCATAAACTAGGGCAAAATGTAGTAGAACGATTGCTCCTCGATTGCGCCTCACCGATTGCTCCGAATCGACCATTTTATCTGGCCAGGGTAGCTTAAGAGCTTCGATCAGTTTCATTTGTGAACACAAAAGCAGTTGATACAACCGAATACTGATCGCCTTGGCTATAGCGATGGTGCGGAGGCACAGGCCTTTCGACAGATTACCAAAAGCTTGCAAGAGCTTCGGAATAGCGGATACATCTCAAATACCCTTTATGATAGCTTGAAGCCGAGTGGCACGAAGGTTCCTAGGCTTTACGGGTTACCCAACATTCAAAAGACGGATGTCCCACTTCGCCCAATTTTATCAATGGTTAATTCGCCCTACTAGTCTGTTGCCCAATGTCTTGTGGAAATTCTTGAGCCAATAAGACAGCGACTTACACATTACAGCCTTCATGACAGTTTTTATTTTATCGAAAGCGTCAGGGACCGCAACATCGGTAAAAATATAATGTTTTTTGAATGTTGTATCGCTTTTCACCGACGTCCCACTTCTCGAAATAGTTGCTTACATTTGCACCTACCTCAACGAAACACAAACAACGATAGGCACATCATTGTGTGATTTGAAAAGCTTCTTTTTGCGTTGCGCCTGGTACATACAGTTCCTATTCAATGACATTAACTACAGTCAGAAAGATAGTGTAGCCATGAAATCGTCACCAGGCCCGCTGTTGGCTGATGTACTCATGGCGAAATTATAAAATACCAAGCTACATGCGGAAATCACCACCTTTGATTGTTACCATCGCTAGATGGATGACATATTTGTTGTGGCCGATCAGTCCACTGACATCGATGCTGTTATTGTGCGCTTTAATCAGGCCCGCGCAGCATTACAGTTTACCTGCGAGAAGGAAGCGAACAACCGGTTGCCGTTCCTTGATGTATTTTTAATTCGTAGAGTAGATGGCTCGATCCAACGGCAAGTCTACAGGAAGAAAACCTGAAGTGGCCAGTATACGAAATTCCATAGTTTCGTCCCTTTGAGATACAAGCGAAACCTAATTTGCTGTCTAACCACAAGGGCCCGCAGGATTTGTTCTGAAGACACGTTGGATACTGAGTTCGGGTTCATTCAAAATGTGCTGCGCGAAAACTGGTATCCTGATCGATTCATTCTTAAGAACATGCAAGACAAACCCAACCCGGTACAAGTTGCAACAGCTGAGAAGAAAGAACTATTTATTTGCCACTCCAGGCGCCTACAGTGGTCGGATGATGCACTCGGCATCCCACCGATCAACTAACACGTGCTTTGTTACATGTGCTGTTAATGGATTTTATTGATCAATACTTTTGAGTTTCTGTTTGTCGTGATTCCACTATTCCCACCACTTTGGCTTCGTCAGCCATTTGCTTTCTGTCTTTCCATTTTATAATTGTAAATGCCTGGGGAGATTTATCGAAAAGGGTACTCTTCGCAACATTGTGTTCTTGCATTTCCATGGGTATAATCTACGGATTATAAGATTACCTTTCATAGGGGAAACAGCTGCCAAACGAAAGGCCAGAAGGATTTCAACAACCGTTAAGGCAACTTTCCCAGCTGCTAAGCTCTAGTGTACTTTCTCAATGGACCCCCTTATTCGTATTCGCAACAAAGACAAGTTGCCGATGCTGACCGCTTCTATGGTCATTGATCAGTTCGAGAGCGCCCGTAGTGCTACTTACATTGGTCTGTTGTGTCGCCGCTGACGCCTTCACCCCACGACCGCAAGAGGAAGTCCAAGACGAGCCAGAAGGAGACTTGTATACATGAAATCACAGTTGCTTATATAGTTTGAAGGCAAAATGAAGGGAAGCTACTAAAGTACACTATAGCCAACCAACTGAAGGAGAAACGTAAAATGCAACGGCGAATAAGCAACCGTGTACATAAGAGCGAATCGGGTGGCACTTGTCAAAGCGCAATAATGAGCACTTTCCACGCTGGTTACGTCGAGGTGGTACCGGGGCTATAACTAGCTCTGTTATGGCTCATTTGGTTGATAGTGGGCATGAAGTCGAACCAATCCGCGCCTTTCGAATACTATGCAAGGTTCCGCCACACCGGTCGAAAGGCCCGCGCCTCTGCGGCCTAGATGCAGCCGAGGCGATCAGTATTCGGTTGTATCAACCGCTTTGTGCTCACAAAAGAAACTGACCGAAGCTCTTAAGCTACCTTGGCCAGGTAAACTAGAAGATTTGGAGGCGAGGAGCAATCGTTCTACTACATCTTTGCCCTAGTATGTACTTATCGTTTACGTTTATTGCTGGTCTATACCCCTGGTTGACACGTGATCTAATTCTATTTGATCTGATCGAAACCATCAGGTCGACAGACATGAAGAGACTCGTCACATTCGATCATCGCTGCCTTCGCAGCTTAGCTCATGTCTGGTGGGAACACCGCGTAAGCAATGAGCGTGTTCGGCGTCGCGTATTTGGTACAGGAAGAGCGAGTGAACCGCTCAGCACGATTATATCACGCACCAGGCTCCGATGGCTGGGCCACGTGTTGCGCATGCCAGCACACCGACTCCCACGACGTGCTTTGTTTACGCGTTGTGGGTGCGGTTGGAAGAGGAGGAGGGGAGGCCAAGTGATGACTTGGTCGAGAGAAATGAAAACCCTCACTTCGAAGTTGGCGTCGGTTGGTGCATCCCGACTGCCTGGTTGGGGTCCTAAGGACGGTGAACACGTTTGGTTGGACACACTTGCTGATATGGCTAGGTGCCGGCCCCAATGGCGTTTGTGTTGTGAGTTCCTTTGTCCATCCCCTCCTGTTTAGCATCCCCCTCCAATCACGATCTCAATCGTTTGGCATAATATGACTTTCTTTTACGGCAGCCAGCTGTTAGCTCTCCGGAACGATGTCCATCCGTTACTGGGGACTCAGCGGGCGTGCCACTGTTTGTTGTTGTTGTTTTGTTTTTTTCTTCTTTTCTTGCCTTTTGTATTGCGGCACAATAGCTGAGGTGTTTTCCACCTCCAGCTAACGTGTAATGATGATGATGATGATGATGATGATGATCGAAACCATTGTTACGCGCATTGCTCTTGCACCCATATGATTGTAAAGGTCGGACGATGAATTCATCGAAAACAACAGATTACCTTCAGTCTCTTGATGATTAAAGGGGAATTTTTCAGTTACTGATTTCAACAAAACAATGAGTACTTCGGTTTGCCTACAGTGAGATGAGCAAGGCTAATCGCCTCGTGAACAAGCAGGATTCTAGTCGCACGATGGGCATATTTTCATACTGGTCTAGTTGGAATTGCAAATGATTCACACATTCTGAAGATGATGAATCTCGGAGCTACTTCCTCCTACTTTGTAGCTTCGAAACTCCTTCGGATGCGGTCCCATTTATCGTAATAGCGGGTTTGCTTCAAATCAAACCGTGGCCTGAATGTTTCAATCCATTGTTTCAATCTTAGTACTGATAAAACACGTTAGTATATATGCATAAATTGTTCATCGCATGTACTCAAACATTCCCCATGATAAGTTTCCAATGTCATGTATTACGAGAAGACGCTGTTCTAAGGGTCAACCCTGGGCTCTGCATAGTTCGTAACATGCCCAGCAACCAAGGCTGCGCTACGCTGTATCGCAGTTAGGCTAGCAGTCATAACCAAATGCACCCTCAGCTATGGCCTTGTGGCTCGGTCCGAACGTGTTGTGAGATGTTTGGTTTGATTCCGGCTGGAGTCAGGAGTTGATCAACACTATGTATCAGTGGACGAAAACGTTTTCCTGGACATTTTCGGATGTATGGTGATCTGTTTACTGGAAGCTGACTGCAATCAGTCATGTATAATGATCGATATTTCACAGTTTGAACAACAACCACAAAACACTTGTTTTTACAAGCATAGACTACCTCGTTCCGTTTTAGCAACAAAAGAATTACTCAGGTAATTCCAGAGCATTTGTTGCAGTTAAACTAAGTCAAGCGGCAACTATGCATTCCAAAGACATTGGACAACATTTCCCTTGAAGCGTGGTTTGATGAATCATTTGCCTTTACTCTCGAGGCGACGGCGTAAGTCCGGGAGCTGTTTGGGACGACGACCAAGCTATTGGTTGCGTTATTGCGCGACACGGTCTCATGTGCCTTATACGTTACTGACATTCATAATGTCCCAATGTCTATTGAAGCCAATCCCTAGCCCCTGTGACCCAGCGCCTATAGTAGCTGCCTCACATGAAAATGGTAATTGATTTGAGACCTGGAAGATTCGTGGAAATAAGCGTTATTGAAGAGTCCCAGTGAAGTTAATTCCTTAAGCGCTCTGCAGATGCTTGCTGACTGATTGAGCGTACTTGTACAGAATCTTTTGAAAATGGAAGTAAATAGAAAGACAGTTTTTCATCAACATGAAAGACACTATTAGGTGCTTGGCCCAATCAGATTCCAATGGTAGCCTCGAATGGTAGACTGCATTAATTAGTTGTGAAAACTTTCCCTTTCAGGCTGTTACCAAAAGTGCCATTCAGGAGGATAATAAATTTCTCAATGACTTCCACTTATTTTATCAGGACATCATTAATGCAGTACTCTTGCAAGTTTCTGAACTCCTTCACGAACTGCCATGCGAATGGAACGTGCAGTTAAACGAACATGTCCTATCGGATCGATGTCCCGTCCAATGGAAGAGAACGAATGAGGAGAACAACGATACCAGTTTGACGGCACGCAAACTATCATCAGTAAAAATTGTCCATTTCAACAACCCCCATAAACCGGATTCATTGCTTTCCAGCTGGCCACTTCGAAATAAATATAATGCTCCCAGTGAGTCTGATGAAACATTGAGTCTAGTGAAGTTGTATTTAGGCAATCCCAAATCCATCTGCCGTAGAGAGTTTTACGTCCAAGTAAGTGGCATCATTGACTCAGGACGTCCTAAGTCATTTGCAGCCGACCATAATAAAGGGTACTAGACGGAATGCCGTTGTCTCTGCAGATGACAGTTGTTAGCACGTGAAAGCATTGACCCGATTCTTATAGAGCATGTTGCTGTGAAGTTCCTAATGAGCTTCTGTTCGGTTTCTATCCTGTTTATCTTTTAACTATAGAGTCGAGCATTGCATTACGCTACCCGTATCCCCAAGTACACGAGGTAAATGAATGTTGGATGACTGTGCTTCTTTTAGAATTTGCTTAGAGAACCGCATTTCTTAAAATGTTTTCCAGGAGGACACGCCGGCAGTCACCTACAGAAGGCCATGAGTCAGTTTGCATCCTTGTCCACTGATTTTGCGCACTTCGTGTGCGAAAACTGGTCTTAGGGCGTAGTCATGAAATCGAGTGTTTTGGACACCAACACATAATAATTTGATGTGTGGCTTATCCCCATTTAGAGGTGTTGTCTTACAAACTTTATACAAAACAGTGAGCTGTTGAAGCTAGGTTGGTTACGAATTCCAAGCTACATATTTTGAGTTAGTCGCACAGAACATTCTGCATAATACAATAAATCTATGTTGTCTTATAAACTGCTGCCTAACTGAAAATCTTAAAAGCACATGGCTGTGTTCATTGGACTCCAGGATGGTTACAAAGTATCATTGAGGGACAAGGCAAAATTTAGCGATGAAGGAAATATGAACTTTATGACTTCCGTGCATTGATAGTGTGAAGTATCATTACTCAATAACATCCCATACGTTTGATCGTGTCACATAATATGTTTTGATCGGTTACGTTGTAAACCGAGGGCGTGCTCCCCGACTGATTCCGCGAACCTTGCTTAGTGATTTTGGGCTTTCTTGCGAACCCCTATGCTTGCACAAACTATCGAAGCTCGCATTTTTACTACATGCTTACTTGTCTTTTCAGCATACGTGTAAAATTTAACCAACCTGGGAAATCAAAAGATTTGGTGAAGTCTTATCATGTTAGCCTTCATGGCATCTGGGTATAATAGGGCAGTCCGTAGTGTATGGTCTGTTTTTCCTTAGCGAAACCAGTTACCTCGTTGGTACTCACTGGGTAATTTCACAAAACCGATCTGAAATGATGTTTGGTTAGCAATTTTGTCAACAGTTACCAGTAGAATTAAGGCGTACGAAGCATAAATGCACGGATTCCGATTTTGGGTAGCCTTTATCTGGCATCTGTGCACTCCTCTACAGACACTTCAGGCGACAATGGGTTTCAGTCACATTTACTTATTCGGCATAGCGGAGGGCTAACGTCTAACCTAGTGAATATTTTATTAACTTGATTGGCCATCCGTACTTGTGTGTTAGTTGGGATAGAAGTCCATCCATTCTGTCCACCATAAACATGTGGGTTATAATCAGGTTTTCTACTACTATTTGTCCAAAATTATGTGCACGTCTGATCTACGCTTCTAAGTGGAAAACGGGAAGTTTGTAACTTTGTACGGACTTCCAGTTCGTGTCGGAAACCCTCATAGGTCTTTATGCTTCATGCTCCAAACTAACCCGTAAGACCAGTTACTACCAGACAGGTTCTGGGGAAGATCTACTCGCATTAACGTGGGGGACTGCAATGGCGAATCAACATTACCTGTGCATGCCAATCGTTGGCTTTTCCTGACTTCCCTACTTCGTAACCTTCATCGGATAAGCGCATAAAACAGTGTGAAAGAAGAAGGATTATATAGGTGCTTTATTTATGGTTCTGGTGTCCGACAGTGGACCGTATTGCAATTCAAGGCCACCATCTGAATACGTCAATACATCTTCAGTAGGATATCACTGGCGAACACAAGTGCATCGGTTTTGCAAGTCCGCATGTAAATGTAGTGGATCTACTTCGTAAGGACCTTTAAGGAGCCTGAGTGAATTGGCAGTGATATTGTGGTTAGGGCTTATTTGTGGACCTGCTATGCAGTATTTCGAAAGCCGCTGTCGAATACTACTGGCCAGTAGTGGCATTTTTTCCAAGTCTTACCCACCAAAATGACGAAGCGCTAAACGCGTGTTCTTCACCAGTAACTTTGGGACAGGTGCGGTAGTTTTCATACCTAGATGGCAGCAACAGTTTCATAAGAAATGGAAAGCGTCTGTGATTAAAACCCTCCTTGAGTTCGGTTAGGTCCACAAGTGTAGTCACCACATGGCGTGATCCCAACCCCTTGAATTTGAATCATAACCGTACGGTACATTGGAAATACATCGATTGTTAATCCCGATCTTACTACACCGCTGGACCTCATGTTTCCCATAAAGAGGAAACCCTGAGGGCCGGATACGTCAGCAAGACTGTAACCCCAAACTTTCTGCCAGCAACAGTTTCTTTTGTCTAAAGTGTCAGACTTCATTAATCTCGGACTCGTAGCAAACAACGGGTTTGGCTTTCTAAACTGTGTGTTGCGTTGACAGGGCGCACATCCTTGATTACTCCCGATGGTAAATGGACGCGGGGAAGAGCAATATTCGCCTAAGGTGACTATTTTAGCAGGACCGTTCATGTATAATGATAGCCAACCCGTTAATGTGTTCCGGACTTCAAAGAAATCTATCTGAATCGGTAACCGTTTGTGAGGCACCCGATCGAAGTCGGAGTTGGAGAATCCGCTGTGTGGTTCGGTTGCCACAAGCAAACCAGGACGAAACCGCGGTCGTGGGGTGTCCGTGTTGGGCTGAGTAACACCAAAATATTCCCACCCGATCGAAGGTTTTCTGCAAGTTCAAGCATAGAATTAATATTGCATATTTTAAGCCAATGGAGTCTGGTATGTAGTTCAGGTGATGCAGCTATCAGGATGTGTACGATCATTAATCAAAGAAACCATTTTAAGACTTGTATATCAGCTCTAGTGAGTTGATGAAATTGCGCACACATTTTACCAATTTCACGAATAATCCGGCTATTATAGGAGTGTTATGTCTGGGCCTGTAATTGTCAATATCCTGATTTGCGCAGCTCTTGTGGCGAGGGCTGATAAGGGAAGTTTTTCATTGCTCGGCAAAGTACTTGGATCTCAGTGAAACGGCAAATATATACAAAAGGAGCAGTGACATATCAGACCTTCCCAGTTTCATGGTGGATGGCGCGATGCCATCAGCTTCCAGAATTGCGCACGGTTGACTAGAATATCTTACTTGCTTGATATTGCGGAGAGCTCTAGCACTTTAGATGGAGCCTTAGTGTAATTATAGCGTAAGTGTCAAGGTTCATGTAAGTGGAGAAGAACGAGTTAAATGCTTCACATATGGCGCCTGGATGTGGTCCACCTGTTCAGTGATCAATGAAAAGCGTTTGTTGGTTCTTTGACGGCGAAATCCGACCAGTGCCTTTGCTTTACATGTCATTCGTAGGGTTGCTTGATCTTCATGTGTTCACCCCATCAATTGTAATTGCTTGATTTCAGAGATAAGTCGGTGCATCCGTGGAATCATTGTACAATATCCTATCCTTTGTTAGCACGCGATCGGTTTGCTGGATTTCTGACTCATCGCACGTTCGGCTGAAGCTTTTTAAACCTCACTGATTCGTTTTACGTGTGTAGCAACGAGCGTTATTGTTTGCTGAACCTAATGATAGAAGTGCTCCAAGGCTGTGCATGTATTGTTGGAGAGAAAGAAGGCATCTCAATCGCAGGACCGGATTATTTGGCGGTATGGTTCCAAGTTAATACTGCGGCTGGTGTAGTAGGAAGGAAGTACTTGTCTGATGGTCATTTCAACGGTGAATGTTAAGAGTAGCAGGTTGCCGTCGCTACCATGGATGTTCTCTGGAACGTCTTTCTGTAAGCTGACCATACCCAATGTAAACATTATGTACAATGTGTTCGTCAACCTACTTTGTATAGTAACCCACAGTGTCCAACCAACTCTGTCTGAATAAATGAAGGCTCTGTGTATAGACAAGAAGATCTGGGAAGACCAGTGTATCTTCGGTATTTTGAAATCGCCTACAATTATCCGTTGTTTTTGTATCAGTTCCGATGCAAAATCGAAAGCTCAGATGATGCGGACAACATTCATGGTTGATGCATTTGGCAGGTTGCGGATAGACGCAAGTAAACCGAGGCTCCGGAGACGGAGAACCAGAGAGAATCAGGGACATTTGACAGTGGTGTATGTTCAAACTGTTCAGCCATACATGTGTGATTGAGTTACATGAAGCATCCTCCACTATCATTTGGTCAGCTGAAGATGGAGAAGCGGCATGTGGGGAAACTGAACCTTCGTTATCAGGACATGATCAAAGTGAGCCTTTCAAGTTCCAATCTTGATTGCAAATGAAGGGAATCGAAGGCGTTTGACTGGCGTGAATGGCGCAAGCTGCTCAGGAAGGCATTTGCCGAAATGCAGGAGAAAGACCTCATGTATTCAGAACAGAAGCGGCAAACACCGATGGGTTGTACTTCATCGAAATCGAGCGCATGGTGCTGTAGCACATGCGGTCGCGAGTGCCTGAGTCAGGCCGGCCTAGTTAGCCATGCGCGAGGCCACTCGGGACTACCACCGAAGCGTCGACCGTCCTGCAGAGAACGTAGACAGAACCGGCGCAGCGTTTGTAGGTACGCTGCACTCGATTTACTAACCGTGTGTGCGCATGCTAAGTCCTTTTATTTCAGGTGGCGGGTTTTCAATTTTGTCCTAATTATTTTCATTCTCATATTATTGTCTACCTGTACTAGCTTCTATGAACGCACATGTTGCTGAACCTAATTGTAGTGAATTTCGATAACATGTTCGCGTTCCTGGCATTTTCTTAAAATATGTTCACTGACCTCTTGAACATATCGCGGATTCGTTCGTAATCATTTTTATGAGCTCATTTAGTGCAGAGTTATGTCTCCGTATCTGTATGCATTATCCGATTTATTTTATTTCATCTTGTCGTTGCAAGTGATTGGCCGTTACTTGATATCCCCGGTGTGGCTGCGCTTGATGTGCATGTTGACAAGGTGGCCCACGCTAGTCATGTGCCACGACATCATAAAGTGTCTTCGATTCAATGAATCGATGTGTTCTTTGTGACTGTCTGCCAAGGAAATGTATGCCCGGGAAATCTGTAGCGTAGCTCGGGCAAGCTGTCGCTGTCCTTCAATATCTCCAGCGGTGTACGAAAGGGATGCCCGCTATAACCTTTCCTCTTCGACTTCGATATTGATGAACCCATGGAACTCGTGTTCACTGGACGCAACTTAGAAGGTGTGGAGCTGCTCCCAGATGGACGACTTCTTGAGTTTGAGTATGCTCACGACATTGACCTCATCTGTGACATCTCACGAACCTGACAAGTTGCACTAGACAGATTAGCACTGGTCGTCAGCAGTTTCGGGCTTTGTTTGCATCCTCAAATTGCAAAGCTTTCCTCCAACATTGGCAAGGACCGCCTCCTACTCTGATCCTTGGTGTGGATCAGCTAGAAGTCGTTCAGAAATTCAAGTACCTAGGCCGTTGTATCAGCGCCAGAAGAATCGAAGACGAGGTTACCAACCGTATAGCAAAAGCTCGAGGAGCTTTTGCTAACCTTCGTTACCAAGGCTGTAGAAGTGACATCACTCTTTCACTGACGGGTAGAATGTACATTGCAGCCGTACGTTTGACGTGTTGTACGGTGTGAGAGCCGGACCATTAGATAGGCAGACTTAATGGAGGCTAGTTCCGTTCGACCATCGCTACCTTCGCAGTTTGGCTCATATCTGGTGGGAACACCGTGTGAGCAATGAGCGTGTGCGGCGCCTTGTTTATGGCACAGGAAGAGGAAGTGAACCACTCAGCACCATCATTTCACGCACCAAGTTCCAATGACTGAGCCACGTGTTGCGCATGTCAGCACACCGACTCCCGCGACGTGCGTTGTTTACGCGCCGGGGTTGTGAATGGCAGGAGAGGAGGAAAGGCCAGCCCATAACTTAGTCATGAAGAATGAAGGCTCTTTGTTCAAAGTTGGTCTCGGTTGGAACCTCTCCGCTCCCTGGTTGGGGTCCGAAAGACGGTGAACACGTTGGACTGGCTACAGCTGTCGATATGGCATCAGCCGATCTCAATGGCATTTGTGTTGTGAGTTTCCTTGTCGCTCCCTCCGCTTAGCTTCCTGCTCCAACCCCGACCTCATTTCTGTCACATAATATAACTGTTTTTGCCGCACAATAGCCGGCTGCCAGCTCTCGGAACAATGTGCATACGTTACTGGTAGCTCACCTACCGTGCCTCTGTTGCGTGTTCTTTTTCATTTCTCCTGTGTTGCGGCAAAATAGCTGAGGTGTTTCCCACCCCTAGCTAACGTGTATAATGATGCTGATGATTTTCCAGAATCCACTAGTGAGCTTACATTCCTATGCTACAACCGAATGTATGTTGGAATAAAAAGCATTATTCGGCGCTATATTTGTTATATAATTTTTGTTTTAATCTTACTTCCCGGATAGTTCAACTCGGTTCCTGGACGTTGCAGTGAAATGGCATGCTATGCGCTGTGCATAACTCTATATGTCCAAAGAAAAGAATGACGCTGGTAGCTAGCTTGTCGCCAAACCCAGTTATTCCTACTAATTGGAAGACTTCTCGATTGTCTTTACCTACCCACATTGGTATTTTTTATCTATGCAAGTACAGGACAAAACAAAATGAAATGCATGCTACTCATACTCTAATTTATTCACTATTGATATTCTCCGCACTATAGATTCTGGCATGCGCAGGATGTTCATGGAGTTGCATCGATTTTTCAAGGTATATGACGGTCTTGTGATCAAAAAGCTTATGCTGGACTCCGTCAGACCGGAATGTAGAAGAAACAATCGATGTTTTATCGACACAGTGAGCTCTTTAGGAAGACGTTTTAAGTTGAATAAAATGTATGCATTAGCCTGCTCCAAAGCAGGAATAAGTTTGCAGGTTTCAGTTTCGCTTATTAATATGACGGATCAAAGCTGAAAACGCGGGCGCCTAATTAAATGCCTGTGATTTGCCTATGGCCAAGCACTCTTTGTCTACCTACCATTTAGCTTAGCATCTATCTAATTTCCAGTCTGTTTGTTTTACGGCTTCCGTAATCTTGTCTGATATCTGGGAAAACAGTAGGTAGCATTATCAAACCAGCTATTTTTCTGCTTCCTTCCAAGCGGTTTCTCGTTGCTACCGGTTTTTCTGAGTGTAATTGGTCAAAAATAGTTGTGCATTGTTGATACCTATCCTATGTGGTAAGTAAACGCTAGTGTGTGCTCCTAACTAGCTAACCCTTCACTTCACCTTTCTAATACTCGATCAAGAATGTGCCGGTTTGTTTAGCCATACTCAGTGCGCCTCACACCGTGGAGTTAAACTGTGCGAATTGCATCCAAATTACCAGTCGTAGTTTCTGTACCTGTTGTACCAAAAATTAGGGACGCAGATATGACGCTATTCATCTGCTCCAGAAATTAAAGGCTGTGATTCGAGATGTGATTATACTGGCTAGTTAACAGTCACGTAGTCAATCGCAGAAGTGGATATTTATTTCAATCACCGAATAATTTATGCCTCCTTCTCATGGGATCACGGCACACAGCTAGTGCACTGTCTGCACTCCAGCGGACCTCAAGTTGAGCGATGCGCTCCGGTCCCATGCTCTGGTGGCGGCTTCATGGAAGCCTTGCAGCGACGTGGAATAGTGAGTTTCGCTTCAAGCTTCCGCTATTTCTACTTGAAGTATCCAAACAAAAATGAAGCTAGTTGGTGACGATAAACAAGGGGGACTACGCACCTTGGCTGTGTTAACCTAGACGGTTAAAAGCTTGTCCTATCCACTGCGAAGGGAAGTGCAATATCTGAGATTACACATCTTGCAACAAATGCACCTACTAGTGAACATATATATGTGTGCCGCATCCCCAAGACTTCCGGCCATGTCTCATGTGACCTTTCGAAACGTAGCCACAACGGTAGCTTAAGTGGCCCCTAGCTAGGCTTGGTTAGGCAGGGTGGCTGGCTAAGGTATGGTGTTGCCCTCCAAGAGTACAGTGGCAGAATGAAACAATGGTATATTACGGGCAAAAAAGCCGATGCTTAGCAAATCCCGTAGGATGACGAAAAAGAGAATCACAACATGGGAAAACCTCAGTTGTGTAGGTTAATTCTGCTTGTGTAACTTACGTCACATTATATCATCTGTTGAGACACACATGCTATATCTCGTAGTGTATGTGGGTTAGGGCCACATCAAGGCGTTTTATTTTAACACAAGTAAAGTGGGGACGGAAACAACGTAATTTGGGAGGGTGATCCATGGCTGACACACACGAAGAGCGTAAAAGTTAAGTCGACATTCTAGCCAACTGTATTGCGTGACTAACTTAAACTGGTGGACCATCAAATTGGTGTTGTGGTTCAGTTGTGATAAGTTGCGGCAGAGGTGGTTGGGGTTCTTTAGAATCTGGTAGGGCATAATAAGGTCGCCACATAGATGCCGGTACCGGCCGCTGTATACTTTTAGGGTCCTCAGTCTAAGTTGATAAGGAAGATTGAACAACCCTTTAAGGTGCTTCGTGCTTCATCGCTGTGGAGCCTCAAGCACTGTAAGGTCTTGCGTGTGCTAGGGCTGCCAGGCCTGGATTGCGTATTCCACATGAGGCTTCATGTATATGTTAAGTAACTGGGAACAGACAGGGGGATCAAACCTTCCAAATGCCCTCCGTAGCATGCCAACATGTTGGTTCCCGGTCTTTGACGCCAGATCAGATTGAACAATGAACAATGATATATTACAAGTAAAAAAGCAGTTGATTTGCAAGCCCCGTAGGGTGGTTGACGTGAAAGTAAACTTAAGTGTAAATGGTCAATTTAAGCGTCTAGCGATTCAGATGCCCCTTCTTCACATAAACATTTTAGAATGGACATTGAATTGTTACTGTAGAATAATATGGGAAGTAATAGAGGTAAGGTATCTCTTAAGAACAAAAGAAACGACAACGCTTACTCGTGCGCCGCTTTCCTGGACTGAGGTAATTGATGAATGCAGTTGTAATATATTCGAAACTATATTCCACAGCAGCAGTGTGTAAGTAGTGAAGCACGAAAGCTGAGAATGAGCATCATTTGTTCACGTTTGGTTGACGTAGACATCACTGATTATATGGCGTAATGTAAGTGGATAAGCGAACCATCCAGACGACTTCTGAATACCGTTAGCGTGGGGGAAGAAACAACATATGTGGGAAGAGCGTTCCAGTGTTGGCACACACGAAGGGAAAAGAAATTCCAGCGGCATTCCAACCAGCTGTATTGTGTGTCCAGCTTTAGCTGGTGTCCTCTGGGTGTGGTATTGCGATTCAGCTTTAATAGGTGACGATAAGAATGGTTTGGATTCTTCAGGATCATATAAGTCGCCACGCAGGCGTCGCTATTGTTTACTGTAGACCCCGAGGGTTTTCAGCCTCAATCGGTAAGGGAGATGAAACAAACCGTTTACGTTCTTGGTCGACCTTCGTTGTGGCAATTCAAGATCGGTAAGGTCTTGCTTTTGCCATGGCTGCCAGGCGTGGATGGCGTACTCAGAATGAGGCCGAATTTAGGCGTTGAGCACCCGAGAAAAGATGGAAGGATCGAAGCGCCCGAATGCCCTCCGCAAAAAGCCAAAGTGTTGGTTAGCTTTTTCGGCGACTCTCGGCCTGACGGGAACAGCCCAGCTCTTCCTGCATTATCACGCCTAGATCGCATTCCGCTGAAGTGCGCTGCAATATCTGATCCCCCAGTCTGTATTCGCAAGTAGTTTTATGGCGTATGCTCAACACCTTGCACTTTGTAGCATTTAACTGAAGCAAGATCTGAGCCGACTATTCGTAGACCCTGCCAAGATCATCCTGAAGTGCTACATTGTCGCTGGTTGTTCTAATGGCTCGCCATATCTTGAGATCATCAGCGAGGAGTAAGGAGTTGGAGGTGATTACTGTCGCAAGATCGTTTATGTAAATCAGGAATAGTCGTGGACCAATTACTGAGCCCTGGGGCACTCCGCACTTAACGTTGATTGGGTCAGAGATGACGCCGCGAACTCTTACATTCAGATGCCGTTGAAACAAGAAATTATCTATCCAACCGAGGATTGGGTCACCGATTACACAACACTGCAGCTTGTGAAGGAGGATGCGGTGGTTCAGACGGTCAAAGGCCTTTGAGAAGT